ATACAGAGTAATTTACATTTAATTTCATACTTTTTCGAGGGGTGGTGGATAAAATAGGGATGATGACATACTAAGAGAAAATGGGTCACATTAATGGAAATTCAGGATTTTTTTAAATATTGCCTTGTAGAATTAAAAACTTGAAACTTGTATACTATTAAAATATGGATTGTTAGCTAAGATTTTATTCTAATTTAATTGATATAACATAAACATAAAGTAGTTTAATAAAATTTTTGATTTGGCAAGACAGTGTTCAGTGTTCTAGCACATCTTTTTGATTTTGTGCTTCTTGCTCTTGATTTTGGAACTTTGATTTCTTGTTGCAACCTCAAACATTTTTTACAATTCATTTCTTCCCATGGTGTGCTATTCCCACTTGTATACCAGTAACCAACCCTGATATCATGTACTCGTATTTTTGAGTCATAGCCATTACTGTTTCTGACACTAACGGTGGCCAACCACCTCTTTCATTGGCTTCAGGTTTGACGTTTTTCACTTTTGTTTCAGTTTGTTCATATCCATTATTCTCCTCATCACACTCCCTTGCTGGTTCTGATTTTCAACATTGTTCTTCATTCCCGTTCTCTCTCTGTTCCCTGTTTCACCTCTCGTTGGATTTCTATTCCTACTTTTTATGGCTTGTGGGCATCTAAAATAGGACGTGTTCACCCTTGATGTCACTCACACCCTTGACAGCTACACCTGTGTTCTCCTTTATCTCAATTGTTCCTTCCTCCCTGGGATCTCTGCTGTTTGTGATAGGTTTTCACCTTCACCCCCATTTCCCTTCCCTCCTTTCCTGTTTCTATTCCTTTTCTGTTCCAGATCGCCACCAGTGTCCAGTCAGAGCTATAAGATGTTATGTGACTCACACGACTCCTTTCTGTGTCTCCAACTTTAGAATGTTCATCCACCAGAATCCTTCCATTTTCACATTTCCTTTATCCTCTCTTCCAATTCACCTCCTCCCTCTGTCCTTGGCTGCTCCTTTCCATCCTTCTTTGGGGGAGATCATCCAGGCTGGCATGCGGACCACTCCTCTCACATTCTTCTCACTATTTCCATCGTCTTGCAGTTTTCATCTCAGCAGGATATCATGCTCATCCTGCAACCATCCTACAGACTTCAGTTCATCTATGAGTGTTTAAGTGATTTTACTAACATTTTCTTTTCAGTTGTCTTTTTTACACATTAATCTCTGACATTGCTTGTAGTGACAGAATAGGGAATTCACTGCTTTTCATTGCATTTTTGCTGGTGATGCATTCCTCCAGACTCTCCACGCATATTATTCCCCTCTCCCTCTTCTAGTGGAGTATGGGAATCATTACTACTTACCAGCACGTAGCTGCTGGGGTGGTGGACCATGGAGGAATCCTCCTGAGTGTGCACAATTCCACATAGTCAAGAGTAGGATGGCGGTGTTCTGCCTGTGTAGAAGGTGTGACTATACTCCAGCTGCAGGTCTGATGTTATATGCCAGATGCCATAGGTCTGGACTGGATCTTTCCTTCTAATTTATAGTTCGCTCCTTTTAACCCTCCTCCTTACTGCTGCCTGGATGTTGGTTCCTGGGTTACAGGTTTTGGTTGGAACTGGACCTCCCATCACAAGTCCTCACATGTATGTGAGCTGGGAACTTCCTCCTACCATGGACTGGATCTTTCATTCCCAATGCTCTTTGGTTTTGGACTGGAATTTAACTTCCATGTTGCATTTCCACCTTCCTGACTTTGTCCAGATGTACATTCCTGGAGTTTATTTTTATAGGTTGTGCTGGATTCCTCTTGTAACAGAGCGTCCTCTTCAGTTTTGGTTCCTTGGATTGAGGTTGAATGATTGAGGACCCTCCTCCTACCATGGGCCAGTTGAGTCACTTCTGGTGCCACTGGTCTGGGCTGGAGTTCATCTCCAGCTTACGGTCCAACATGCTCTAGCCACTCTACACATATTCCACTTCCTTTGTTACCTTGTTCCACCCTTTTTGTTGCAACATGACACCTGTTCGCTTTGCATGGACTATGAATATACCTGGATCAGATGTGGTGCGATCTAGCACGAGTGTGTTTCTTCTGTATATTGAGGGCATACTCCTTGGGTACTCTTTAGACACTTTTGAAGGGTTTTCATCTAGATACCTTTACACCTGCCCCTCCACCTGATCAATGTGGAAATCTAGCTGTAACTGTGAGTGGTGATAAGTAATCATATCACAAGTTAATATTTTCCTACACTGAAAATATACATATGATAGATGCCTCCTCTCACACTTCCCACTCGTCCTTCCCACTTCTGATGTTGGATTTTCATACCTAATCTCAAAGTTAAGATTGGGTTAAACTGCACAGGAGTCAGCTGCAATAAGAGGGTGTGTTACACTCCTATTGATGGGGGATTATTGCATACTCAGTTACATGCTTTAATACAGCTGAGCCACATGGTATACATGTGGAGTTAGATGGGAGTTTCAAGGCTAGTGGGTGTACTAGTATCTATCAGAAGTATAATTTAAGTGTAGGAAAATATTAATGTGCAGTTAAACATATTCAAACTAAAATAAAGACTGCTTAAGCAGTATAGACAGGTTATTAGTATCTGACAAAAAAAAGGGAGAATGTTATTTACAGACCTTAAATCAGAATGATTATTTTTTTCACAATTGGGTAGATTATTAATATTTTTTACAAACCTGTATGTGTTATATAACCAGGGCTTTCCCCAAGCTGGTTTCACTGGCAGTGCTATCCTTCTCAAAAGCTTATTAACTAGCATTAAATTAAAACCATTGGGTCCATTAGGAATAAAATTGCTTAGTAGTTAGAAGTTCAGTTATTTACAGAATTTCAATGTGAAGAAAAAAATTTTATATTTTTCATAAACAAGACATATTTAATAAATAATAACAAATTGCTCATTTATATTCTGGAAATAAAATAATCTTTAACAATCTTTTGTAAAGGTTTTAGTTTCAGCATTGGTTTGCTATTCCTTTTTGGGTAAGTAATAAAAAAATATAACATTTTCTGAGTTGAGGTTATTTGTTGACAAATAATAATAAACTTGTGTTTTGCATTGAAACTCATTTTATCTCTCTCCACTAATGTAGTATTATGATGAAACTTGTGGAAATTTGAACAGATATTCTTTGTTTCTTTTGATATTTTAATAAAATTGCTCCTTAGGTTTGAAATGTAATGTGTAGATGACAAAAAATTTATTCCACAATTTTTTGTAAAAAATCTGATAGACATGTTACATATTTTTGTATCAAGTCTTGAAGCTATATTCAAAACTATTTTGTATCAGATCTGAAAGACATATTTCACATTATTTTCAATCAGATCCAAAGGTTGTGTTTCATGTTATTGAGAGGCACAGGTTGGCCCTAAAGTAGAGCTCTGAATTTTTGGAAATAGCGAGCAGGTTTCAAATCGTTATAATATCACAAAATATTTCCCTCACTTTAAGCTGTTGGTACGTGTTAAGATTGACAGTCATTCTCTTAGTGTGGGTGGTAGGGTACTTCTAACAGATTCCTTCCACCTGGTCAGTAGTTAAAAATTAACAATGGTGGCAGATAGCTTTATAGCTTTAATATAAATATAAAAATTATATTATTGAGTTTAACATTCTTTCAAAAATAATGGGATATTAACTAATTTTAATTAAAATGTCTTTGTAAAATGTTCATATTCCATTTTTTTATGTTGTGCTTTAAATGTGTTGTTTTTTATTAAGAAATTTCAGTGAATAAAAATTAATATTCAAAGCATGAAGATAACTACAAGTTTTCTATTATTGAATTAGGTCGTAAGTCTGGAAAGGGTTGTTTTGTTTACACACCAGGAGTTAAAGAAAGAGACATTAATCCTGAAGCTGAGAGAATCTTGAAGAAATATGCCCTAGTTCCAGTTAAACAGTAAGTTCAGTTTTTGTGGGGTTTTTTGTTCTTGTCTGGTTATCAGGATTTTAGTGATAATAAACACAGCTGACTTTACATAATGACATAAAAAATTGCTAAATGAAATAATGATATAAAAAAATTGCTAAATGACATAATGACAGAAAATTGCTAAAAAACGTTTTTTTCTAAACTTACAATTTAAAGAAAGGAGATCTTCAAAGTGATGAGAAAAAATCATTAAGCCTTGATCAAAATTTAGCAAACAGTACTTGATCAGAAGTATAATTCTTGTGTAGCTTACCATTCTTGCTGTGCTTTAAATATTTTGATATAAAAATATCATAATAAATCAAACATATATTTTAACTAATATTTTGAAATTTATCAAAGATATAATTGTCAATTTAGGATCAGCATGTGGAAATTAAACAAATTGTATATTTCTACACTAAAAAAATTGAAAAACTTGGAGGAATATTTAAGATTATAAATTAATTTAAAAGTGTGTAAGTTAAACCTTGCTTTGTGTCAAGTTCAGAATGTTTTAGTAATATTCAAAATGATTTTCATCATTCAACCAACAAGTAAATGAATTAGTTAATCCTATAATGCCTGACACCACTTTTAAATTCCTTTTTGCACATGTTACTGTGTTACATACAAAATTTAATTAAACTTTATTATCAATGTAATTTAACAAAATTATTGGATTATAATTCAAAGTTTTATATTATCTAAGTTTTATTCCTTTACTTTACTCTAAAACAATAATTTAAAACTTGTGTAAAGTGCTTGCTGTTAAACATCAATTTTAAGATCTGGTATAGAAGAAATTGTATGTGTAAATGTTCTCTCAGAGACATTCAAAGTACAGGTTGTTTATAAGTAATTCAAGAACTTGTCACAGACACAACAGTTCTAAAATTTCCCTCACTTCGAGATAAGCCACACCCAGTTACAAAGTAGAAGCTGTGTTGCTAAGTGATGGTTTGAGGTTGAATACCATACAATACAATAATAATAGCTGATTTCACACTGTATTTCATAACAAGGTTAGGAAAGTTAATTAGTATTTGCATTTTAGTCAAAAAAAAAACTTAGTCCATTATGGAGAGCGGAATCCCTAGCACTTGACTATTTTTCTCACCTTATACATATTAGTTTGATAGATAGTGAAATTGCATTTAGGTTTTACTTTTATATTTTAGTTAACTATGTACAATTTGTGTTTTAAAATTCATATTTGAAAGGTTTAATGGTTATTTAAGTGTTTCTGCTCTTCACTTCGATGGTTGTGCTAAGAGCAAACATTGTGCCTTAGGCTAAAGTGTACTTTCTGCCGACATAGCATTATATTTTCTGCAGGGACCTGTTAAAGTGTGTCAACATAAATAATGAAAGATAAAGAAATGGAAAGAAAAATAAAACATTAAAAATAAAAAATTAAAATTGTAAGTTACACATATGACCCAAAGAAGATATTTTAAGATTATTCAATAAAGAGATATAAGGTAAGTACATATTTCCATTTCTTAATTTTGAACATTTCACTGCACTGTACATTGATAATAATAGCTAGAGTTAGTGATATAATAGAGAAAATGTAAAATACATTATAAACATTTACCTTAAGAAACTTATGATATTCATTTAAGAGGCTCTAGAGATTATGCAAGTAAAATATGAAAACTGTAAGATAAAAAATAGGTATTTTTATACTTAACATGAAAATCACCTAGCAGGTGAACTATTCAGAGCTCAAGTGCAAGTAACTACATTAAATGTTGAATTTTTATTATAAATAGCAGAAAAAAATCAAAATCAAATATTTTTCTGATACTACATAATTTTAGAAAAATTATTGTCAAGTTTCAAACAATTTTATCCACTAGTTTTGTTTTTGGAATGAAATATGACAAGAGCAACATTTCCTTTTGGGCAATGCCCATAACCAGGATCATGGGATTAAAGGAGTATTATGTCTCTACATATTAATAATAGGAATGTTTAACATTTTTATCTACGCATGTGATGAGGTTTTAGTGAGTTATATTCAAAATTTAATCAAACTACTTCCTTATCATGGTATATGAATAAATTTGGCATAAAAATATAGCCAATAATCCAAATTTTAAGATTATATAAGTTATAAGTTCTTAATTTTATAAGGGAATATTTAAAAATTCCTTCATTTCCACTAGTATGAGAATTGTGGCATTTGTTCTCTAGGTATGACCTCCTCTCTAATTTATTTAATACTCCTCCAAGAAGTATGAAATTTAAATGTCAATTACCCATTGTTATTGCTCAGGGAAAGCATAAATTATATAGCTTTCCATCTTATTTAGTTACAGAGCCATCAAATAGAAAATCAAACCCATCTTGCCACACCCACCTATCACATCCTCTCCTTCAGAAATGGCCAGTAGTTCTCACATTTAATACTAATTATTTGTAACAATAGAAAACCAAGGTTTTAATCTATCAAATAACTTGTCATATTACATTGTTTTCTATAAAGGGAATTGTCAGTTTCACTTAAAGTTCAAACTTTATTCCTACAGAAAACACATAAACAAGATTAGCTGAAATTTTAATGTCTCTTGTTGCATAATTAGAAAGCTGGAAAAAATTGTGGTAGTTATGGGACATTTTGTGCTTCTATGTTTTTTTGGTACATTATTTAATTAAATAAAAGAATTATCTAGTGCAGTAGTACCATTAGTATAAAAAGTAGGATTAAGTGTCATCGACAGTTGACAGCAAAAAAAAATTATGATTTAAGTAAGTACTTTATTTCTTTTGTTTCATATGTATTCTTTATTTATTATTATAAAAGTAAGTAAAATGTAAAAATTAGAAACTTTTTAGGTTAGATTAAGTAAAATAAAGAATAATAATAAAAAATTTTCATGAGGTATGTTCACGAGCAACTCTCGAGTACCTTGTATGTTATCTAATTCGATAGGGTATTGTGAGTTGCATATTCACCAAGTGATTTAAAACTCTTATGGCATGAATATCAATTAGACATGGTTCAAAGGACAATAAAACAATAAAATGTAAGTATAAACAAATTTCGTTTCATATTACAATATGAAATCATTCTAGAAATAAAAAAGGGTAATTTAGACTTATTTCAAATTTTGTTTGGTGGTTACAAGGTCGTTCAAATCTTATATAGAGTTAGGGTAGAGAAAATAACAGCCAGAATATAAAGTTTTACTGAAAGAAAAATTTGAAATTTACTTTGAAGGTTTTTAGGGATTACGCAAATGAAATTTGAGATTTTCAGGTGAAAGAAGTATTTCTAATCTTAACATGAAAATCACTTTGTACTTACTCGGAGCAGTCAACATTTTGACTCCATATTTTCATGGAGAAATTTTTTGTGCAAATACTTCATTAGAAATTCTGAACTTTTTGTCTACAAATGACTCCTAGTAATTACAGAAAGTTTGTAAAATTTTGTGAAGGTACATAAAATATATTAGAAGTTATAATATAGAAACTATAAGGGTCAATTTGGGTCACAAACTCAGACAGATGACTGAGCCCATAGTGAGAGAGTTAAGTAATAAGTGCTTACTTTGGGCCTTTTTTTTCATGAACTTTATGTCAAACTTTGATTCTTTTATGCCAAATTAACATAATTTTTATCATGAAATGATATTCAAAGTAACTCTTTAATTATGCAGTAATATATAAACATTTAAAATCAACATGTGGTACTTATACAGAATTTTCTGAGTCACTGTAACATTTGGGAGACCTTTAGCTAATTTCAAAATTTATGCATAGTTCACACCAAATGTGTTGAATATAGATGTTACAATTAATTAGCAACTAAAAAGTTGGAGAACTGTTGATTCATTCATTCAAGTCAAATGCTCATAATCGTTTCTAAATTCACTTTGCTGTATATACATATAATATAAGAACAACAAGGGCCATTTAGTCTTTCAAGGCTGTCCTTTATATATTTTAGGAATTCATTGGTTTCTCTCTTATACTCCTATAACATGCCATTCTTCATTACTACTGATGACACCTCATTCCATAAGCTAACCACCCTGTTAGAAAAATAAAACTGTCTTAAATGGAGCCTAGTCTGTTTTTTTTCCAACTGTTAAACTTCTGCCTTTTCATCCTGTTATCTTTAAGATACAGCACAAAGAAATCAAAGGTCTTTATTGTATCGATCTTTGAGATATGCTGTAAATTTCAATGAGATCACTTCTTAACCTTCTTTTCTCATGAGAATATAAGAGATCTTAAACAGTCCTTATTAGATAACCATTTCATCCCATGAATCATCCTGGTAGTCCTCTTCTGAACCTCCAATAAGCTAGTGTCATTTCTTTAATAAGGAGACCAAAATTGTATACAATAATCCAAGTAAGCCTTAACCAGTGATCTGTATAAAGAAAGTTTTTGACGGGTAATCAATATGTTTAAAAATAGGAGTAACAACACTCCAACCCTAAGAAACCTTCTCACTGCCTGTTGTTCTACCAAAAGTGAGAGAAAAAGACTTGCATATCTGATATTTGACCTTTAAAACTGTGAGGAAAACATTGTCTTGTCATGATGCTTAATCTTTTGTAAATCTCTCACTATATTTACCATCAATTGAGTAATATATTCAGATCATTTCCAATATACCCCATAGAATGTTCAGGGTTGGGAATATTGCTGCAATGCTGTTTTATAGAAACAGAGTAGAAGAAATCAGTGACAACCTCAGCCTATCTTGAAAAACAAAACTTTGTTACCAGCATCCTTTAAAGGTTTAATACAAGTATGCATTGAATTGGTGTAATAGTCATTTTTGGCATCTTGCTTTAATAAAAAAACTGTTTATTGTGCCAATCCATTGATATAATTTCATAAATTTAAGCAGTGAAAGAAGATTACAAATAATTAAAAAGTTTATTTTTTGTAGACCTTTCAGGTGGATCCTGTAATTGTTTATTTTGAAACTGTTGTATAATATTAACTTGGATGTTGGGTGATGTTTCTGTTTTTATATACATTAAAAATCTTTATAGTTAATTGTAGTGTATTTTATCTTGGTTCTCTGCAGCTCCATTTTATGATCTACTTATTGTTTTCCTTTGCTCTTTTTAATATTATACCAACTTGAGGTTTACAAAGTTTTGCATGATTATAAAAATAATATATTTTCTAACTTATCTACAGAAGTGTGATAACATAAGTTATTTCTGACTTGTCCATGATAACTTTGTCTTTTTTCCTGATAACAAAGAATAAGTTATGTCATGATGACCATCATGTATCTTCTATGTTTAATAATTTAAACAGTGAAAGGGACATAGTATGAATTTTATAACTTCTGAATGAGAGATGACTCAAAATGTAAAACAAGACAAGAGTCAGAATCTTTTTTTTTTGTCCATAGTCATTATATTTGCCACTTTCTCACTGAATTTTGTCATATCAGGAAAACTGTTTCCTACAGAAATTAAATTTTTACAAATTGCAAAATAAGTGAGCCTCAATATATAAGCTGTATATAACCACTAGATTTTTAAATGAGAAACAGTCCCAAATTATTAGATAGATTTCCTTACCTAATTTATACTTTCAATAATATGTTATTATGAAAGGTATGTTATTTGATTTGATCTACTGTTGCATTTGATATGTAGGAGAACACTGTTGTTCCTCTAAATAATAGATCTGCCACAATAGAATGTTAAAATTTTACATAAAATAGCATATTTCTTTAAAATAACATTTAAAAGATTGTCACTTATATTATTGACAAATGATTAAGATTTTAGAATTTTACTTTTTTCCTCTTCCCTAATTAAGATGTTGTTTATGCAGTTTTCCATTTTTCACACACAGGTTTTAAGTTGATTCATCACTTGTGAATAGTCTTAGTAAGGTATTTGCATACATCTGAAATAATGCTTGCCTTTCACTTACACTGTTACATTTGTTGTATATATTTTGATAATTTCATTACCAGGAACACCACAGAAGAGCTACAGATGAGACTGATCTGTAGATTTGTAAATGAATCTGTTTTATGCCTTCAAGAAGGAATATTAGCCAATCCTGTAAGTATTCTGTTTATGATGCCTGTTTTGAAAGAGGGGTTGAAAAAACTTTTTTGTTATTATACATAAAATATAAAAATAAAGGTTTAAAACTGGTGCTTTAGAAATACTTGCAAAAAATTTAAGCAGTAGTGTTTTGTTTTCTTTTGAATTTGATAGTAATGCAAACACTCCAAAAACGTTTGTAAATTACAAAAGCGTCCCCTCTCACCAGTGGCTCAGCAGTAAATCTTGGGGCCGATAATGCCAAAAATTGGGTTTCAGTACCTATGATTGGCACAGTACAGATAGCCCATTGTGTAGCTTTGTCCTTAATAACTAACAAACAAATGACAAACCTAACGGGGAAAAAAAAGACATGGATTACTGGATAATTCAGCCATCAGTCTGCCATAATTGATTTTGCTTGTTCAAGTAAAAATAACAGTTATTTAGAATAAAGTTGTTTCTTTATTTTAATAGAACTTATGGATTTTGTCCAAGAGAAAAATAATTAACTTCTGGTAAACTCAAATAGGAAACAATTTAAAAATCTATCGGATGATTTATATGGTGTATTGATAATTACATTCCTCTAGAAAAAAACAATACTTCAATACTTTAAATTGTTTTAACTGAAAAGGCATTATTTTATTTTTTTTTAGATATTATCAAGCATTTTCAAAGATTAATTGCATAAAAAAATAACAATTACTTTATATATCCAAGAAAAGGTAGCAAAACCTGAGCCAGTAATTTTTTCATGTATGGTTTATTTTCAAGCTATTTAAAAAGTGTTGAGGCCATGTCCACCAGCTGACTTGTAAGTTCTTTCTGAAAATACCCCAGTTTAAATATTCCAGTTTTGTCTTCTGTAGTACGTTAAAGTATGTATATAAATACAACTTTCATCTAATACTTCATGGTAATGCAATACGAACTTTCTTTCCCCACTTTTTTACAGCAAAATTATTTATTCTTAATTATATTGCAGAAACTTTGTCCACAAAACATATGCTCCACATTTTAAATTTTCACTCAAGTCTGATAATAGAAATTTATTACTGATTTACAAAACAAAAACCCTGCATAACCCTGAGGCATATCAACACACAGTTAAAGGAAGGGAGCTCTGCTGCAAATAATTGTGATAAAGAAAGTAATACCAGTTTTCAGATGATATATTTATGATTTTATTAGGTTCAGAAACTTGAAAGTTGTAAAATAAAATGTGGATAGTTGAATTTGACAGTTCTTAATGTAAATAAAAAAATTCATTGTACTTCAAATTGTTTGAGCTAAAAATAAGCTTCAAACAAATACAAAGTTTACAGATTTGTGGCTTAATTTCATCCACTGACAAGTGGAATTTCATAGGTAGGAAATTTAACAATTTCCACTGTCTCAATAATAGTTACAACTGGACAAAAATTGAAAGTTAACATTAGCAGTTTCAATATTTTTAATTACTTTATTCAAAACAAATTTAATAAAACTTTCATCAAAAGAAAATTCAAAATCTAAACATTTTGGCCATAATTTTATTTTGGAAGTAATTTGAAGAGATAGATAACATAATTTTGTCCCTGTAAAAACCGAAGGTACCAGACTATAAAATGTTAAACTTCTAGGACATGTTTCTAACATTAACTTTTGTTCCTACTGGTTGAGATGTTTAACCTCATCCCTCCACACACACACAAATTTCTTTCCACTGTTGTCCCCAGATGGATATATGAAATGTTTCCTATGAGTTGTATGTAAAGAACTTGACACAGATTTAAATTAATATTTGATATCACTACAGTACGTATTTGTGTTTTAAATATGTTAATCATTTCATAAAAACCACCTTTAAAATGACTTTCCAACAAAAGATCTTTTTGCACCTTTTTACATCAATTTAAACAAGTCTCTCCTTCATACATGATTACTCTTGGTTTTCGTTTGTCATGAAATGTGTTTTGTATAAAAAATCTTACACTCCAAGATTATTATTTGAGACTCTTTTGAATAATTTTCTGAAAGTATTTAACATCCATTTGAGAAATAACCTTGAGAATTGGAAAAATATTTGAAACAATAACCAGAATCCTCTTTGCATCTGAATATCTTTCAGCTAACTGATTTGTTGAGGCTAATCCCTCCTGACATCATTAAAGAACCTTACAAATTTTTATTTGTTTATCTAAATTTATGTCACTTCCTTCTCTTAAACCTTTTTTTCTTGAAGCTTGGTCAATCATTTTAGGATAAATAGTTAAATTGTACATAAAATGATTAATCTCTGAACTTGAAAAATTAACATTGCATTTTGAGATGAATTCCTAAAACATAGGATAAGTCATGGCTTACTGTAATAAATTGTCATTGAACCTATTGGTTAGCACTTCCTAAGTGTTATAAGTAAAGGTTAAAAACCATGTGTGTTATGTAAATGGCTAGATTTTTTACTAAAAGTTATAGAAGTATAAACCATGAATAGTTTTTTAAAGTAACTGTGAATTAAACTTGATAGAAACTAATGTAAAGAAAACATATGAATTCTGCCTTAAAATATCAAGATTTTCAATGGACAGAAAAGACAAATTATTTGCACATAATATTAGAATGGAAGTAAGGTTTACCTTCAGGTTGTTATGCAAGAAAGAGAAATCAAGCACGAAGATTTTTTGTGTTCTGTGATATGATCAATAATATTGAAAATTTAGGTCCTGAAATGATAATTTTAAATTTCATGTATAAAAGTATAGTACGCATTGCAATTTGTTTTACATGAAACTGGTAGAATTTTATATGAGGAAAAGTTTTTCCCTATTTTTGATCAATCAGCTTTGAAAAGTTTTATAAAAGTATAGCATGAGAAAAATTGGAAACTGATATATTTATTTCAGCACTATCTATCATAAAATTTAGTTTAAAAAATATAGTTTAAAATAATATATTTATCAAAAACGTTATCTCCATTGTGGTTTTAAAGATTTAAAGTTGTAGGTAAACTAATTTATGGTACATCGACTGGATGAACGTAGCTGATCTACTGTTTTTCCGTATTTGCTGAAAATCTATTCAACTTTTTTGTAGTGGTTTCTAAATGGGATATTTTTATTCCATTCTCTTAGATATAACCTGTTGTCTTACTACAGATTATTTATATTTCATTTATGACTCATTTGAAATAAGTGCAGTTAAAACTTGTGTACTGAAAGCCAGCAAATGTTGTTTGGTTAAGTTAGATTTTGTGTTTTATCATTTTAGCTTGAAGGAGACATTGGAGCTGTATTTGGACTAGGCTTCCCACCCTTCCTAGGAGGACCGTTCCGTTACATAGATTCATACGGGGCTGACAAAATTGTGGGATGGATGGAGAAGTTTACAGAGCTATATGGACCTCAATTTAAGCCATGTGAGCTTTTGATAGATCATGCTCGAGACCCAACCAAGAATTTTCACATAAAGAAAAACTGATATATCCTAGCCCATTGGATGAGCCTTAACAATGCAACTGGAATTTCCAAGTTTACATTATAGAATAGCTTGATCCCAGCTGATTATTAGTAATTTGTATTGTCAGTCAAGGGAATAAGGGAGAGAAATTACAATTAAGGTTTGCAGATTATGATGATAACATTCCAAGTTATAGAAAAATTGGGGAAATTCAAGCCTTGAAATGTTTGAATGATGTGAAAACTGGCTGTGTTTTAAGAAATATCTACCATTGAAACAACTTATCTGTATAGTTAATTTAAAACATAGATTTCCAAAGAAAACCAAAAGTAATTTTATAAAAGTTCTAACATTGAAAAATGACATAATAAAATCAAAATACAGCTTCTGACTATATATTTGTGTGAAATGAAATATTTTATAAATGCCTCATCTTCAGTTATCAGTACTAAAATATCAGTTGTAGAATGTGTGTTTTTAATAAATTGTTTTATTTGAACTAAAACTAAAAATATAAAATGAATTTCAATTTTTAAATAAGTAAACTTGTGATTTTTGAATTAGTTTTTTTTTTCTTAATAAGGGTAAACAACAACAACTTTGTAGGTTGATTATTTGTGTACAGAAGTTTGTGAATTAACTTGCAAAGAGCATAAGAGAAAAAAACAACTTTGAACTGTGAGCACAAAACATTACAAAACATACTGCTGCATTAAATTGATTCTGGTCAAAAACACCAAAATTAGTTTTATAGTGGTAATTCAAGGATAAATCTAGCACACAAGTTCTAGGATTTCCCCAAAGGGTTTATATATCTAGTATGCTAACGGATAAGTGTAGCAGTTTGTTACATGTGAAACATAAGAGACAAGACAAGCTGTTGAAATCCAATCAGGATAAAACTATATTTCCCTGTAGAACTGCTTGGGATAGAAAGCTAACCACTTGTGGTTAGACTATTACAGTGTGTGGGACTGAATTTAAGTAGAATGAACTAAACTGTATTTAAGGAACAATTAAGGTAATGATAATAAAATAAAACAAACTAACTGCAGGCTGGGGAACATGGTAAACAAAGATAGGACTTCTAGAGCAAGTCTTGGCTCTCGTAGACTAGGACACAAAGGATCTTCTGCAAAATTGAGTAAAAATCTCTCTAGAAATGATCAAAACCACATTCACGATTTGCAATACACATTCTCTGTGTAGCTTTACAATCAGAAAACAAGCCCCCAAATGCTAAAATACATGTAACATCTGCAAGGTAATTCTCTGTACATAAGGTAAAGTGGGATACTATGCAACTGTCCTATGAAACAGCAAATAAACTCCTTGACCTGATAGTCAGCATAAGTTACACCTCATTCCAAGTTTATCATATGACTTCAATGACATTTAATATGTTCCAAAATAGAACTTAGAATAATTTGAATAGCCTTACACAGATTATATATAGACTATAGGACCAAGGATTGCCTTAGTAGGTGTGGAGCCCTGTATAAGTTTAAGAAGGCAGGCTTATTTTGAGGCCATGGCTAGCTTGTTAACCCACCACCCATCATTTGAATCTGATACAGTAAACTATAAAGAAATATCAAAATACTTTCAAAATTGTATTCATTATATCTTTAAATGGCTAAACACAGAAGTCCGGTGAAAATATTGATAAATCAGTGACAACAAACTCTGATTACATGATTCCCGGGTAGTTTTTCTAAAGTCAGAACAGCTGAAGTTCTCTTGGGGCTGTTTCTTAGGTAAACCTTTTTTTTTCATGCTTAAGAATCAGAAAGCAAACTTTAATTCAGTGCATGTAAATGTCCACTGAAATGGAGATTATGTCAGAAGTGACAATTAATCATGATTCAGTTCTCCAATGGTAGACAAACTTTGGTACTGTTTTGAGTTTGTCCATTATAATATGAAACTTATCATTGTTATTGTATAAAGAACTAACTATAATAGGCAAGCAATATAGAATATATAAAAAATAAAACCAGCCAAGATCTCAAAGTGAAAAATACAATTTAAATTAACAAATTCTAATTCAATCATGACTTCTAAAAGTGTGGACCTTAGCACAGCAGCACCACTCACACCTGTCTAAGGCCACACCTGTATAAAAGAATAAGTACTTGCATATTACAGTTGCAAAGCAACTTTATGAAAATGTGAAGAAACTGTGGGTGTATTCATCAGTGAAGTGCCATGACTTTATTAGCAAAATATAAAACAACTATTTATATCATAGATAGAAACATTTTCTTATATATATATATATGCACAAGCTGCTTCATTTGAACTTTGAAGGATCATAATGGTTGGATCAGTAATACTTTTGTAACGTATTAATGGTGGTTCTCAATTTTTTTAGATTTTGGACCACTTTGACCTGACCTTACCCCAACTTTCTGTGGTCAAATTGTGGTATTTTAGGTAAAATGTTTCCTAGCAAGTATCATAAGGGTAATCCTGCAAATAACAGCACATGCAATCAAGAAATAATGGATATTCTGTGCTTTATAACATGACTGAGTTTCTTTAATTGTGAAATATCGAGACTTTAACATATGTAAATAAATAAACAAACTATTATGAAAAAAAGAAAACATGATGTGAGTACTTGCACAGATAGAATCACAGTCGATTCTACTGGAGTGTATTTAGCTCCGCAGTTTTCTTTCTTTCAGGATCGACTTTCTTTGAACTAAACACAACAATCTTGAAGTAATTCCTCACTCAAAGATCTCCTAGTAGAAATAGCTCAAAGAAAAGCACTTAAGTTACTGGTAAACTTTGTTTCTGTATTCAGTCAATGCCATCACCTTGTGACCTTTGTTAGATCGGCTGTTTGATTTATCCAACATCATCTCTGCTAACAAAGTATATTACAGTGCTAATCCTTTCAACACAGCTGCTATATATTACTACAATAGCTTCATGGGCAAAACAGATATTATCTACTATAGGAAACAGAACTAAAATAAGGCAATCTCAACTACATTCTGGACCACGTGTTGTCTCCATTACAACATGGACACTAAATAGCCATTTTTTTTTAATTCTTATATAACTACATCAGGTAGAAAACATATAACATATCTATGTATCACACTTTTTCTCTGTCTCAGACTTGTGACATGGTTAAGGAGAACATTACCTTATTCCAAACAACACTTAAACAACCTAAGAATATCAAAAATCCTTTTATGATGATTCAAATTTAGTACAGATATTACTAAAACTTGAATTAAAAATACAATAAAAAAGCTAATTACTAAACAAAAATAAAAGGTAAATCAGAATAAAAAGAAAACACTTTAACAGTAATTAATAACCCATCATCATACACCATTATAACAACAAATTACTGACATAAGTAATAATATATACAAGAAAATGAAAGAAAAGCCCTTTAATAATGAAAATATCGAAATACGTGAGATAAAACCCTTAATACATGAAAAAGAAAATAGAATATGAAAAACAGCTTTAACTATTTCTGGAGCTGGTACATGGTTTGGTTTGAATTTCACGCAAAGCTTCACCAGGGCTATCTGTGCTAGCTATTCCTAATATAGCAGTTATAGACTAAAGGGAATGAAGCTTGTCAAACACTACCAACTCTCGGGCTACTCTTTACCAATGAAGAGTAGAGTGATCATCACATTATAACGCCCCCATGGCTGAAAGGGTGAGCAAGTTTGATGACGGGGATTCGAACCTGCGACCCTCAGATTGCGAGTTGAGTGCCCTAACCACCGTAGTGAACTGGCCCTTGAGTTGATTTGCTCATTTGAATGGCTGGTATCACAGTCTGCTCCACTTCTTCGTATTTGTGTGTCCCTATAATGAACCTAGCATCATGAAGTGCTTTTTGGGTTTGTTTGTTTTAAAGCAAAGCTACATTGGGTTATCTGCTGTACCCATTGTGGGAAATTGAAACCCAGATTTTAGCCTTGTAAGTCCATAAATTTACTACTTTCCTACCAGGAGACTAGGCTTTGGGATGTAGTGGTCCCATTGGAAGTTTGAGCACATCTGACACCATATTAGGTGGTGGTGGTGCATCTTCCAATGTGATAAGTCACTGTTCTCGTTATTTCTTAAGCTTCTTCTTGTCCTTTGGAAGGACCAGAAGTGGCAACTGTAAAGGCTGATGGGTGGCCTGGAGACTAGGATCCTATTTGTGCTAACTGAGTTTTCTGTTATTGAATTATGTAATAAAGCTCCTGAAAACTGTAGAGCTAGCCCGACCATGGATGCTGTGAGTTTTCCCTTGTCAGATATATTGGCCAACAACATATTCCTCATCCATGGGCTCAGATACTGTATAAGTTAGGCCAGGCCTGGACATTCCAGCAACAGTAACTTTATTGGTTTCATCACTCAGGAAGAAGTCTTGTTTGTCCTACAGGAACTCATTGTTTCTACTTGTCGTTACCTTCTTATTTATCACAATAAACCTCGTGTAATTGATTATGCATGTTAATGTCTTAATATCACTCATGAATGACTTTAAATAAAGATTTTCAGTGTGTGGTACACACACTTAATTATTTACATACATACATTGTCATATATATATGCTGTAATCATGCTTGTCAAACATTCTAGTAGCTTATACAGCTTGATCCCATTGGTAATGTTCAAGTCACCTGTTGAAGCTACACTTGGTAGTGTCATCTAAGGCTATCAAACTGGACTTATTCATATTTTAGAATTTAAAAATAAATAATGCTGTCAAAATTCTGAGAAGTTAAGACTTTTTAACTAATAAGTATTGTTACGACAACGCAGGTCATGTGACGCTCGTATCACGCCACTTCCTTCTCGAACCTTCATGAAATGTCCGGAAACTACTAGATTGGGGTAGACTTGTATATATAAGACTAGCCAAGAAGCAACGTAAGGTAATGAGGAAGAATATTGTTGAGCACGTGAGAAGTTCGTTGTGAATTATAGCGTTTGTTATTGAGCAACTGTTGAAATTAAATGTATCGCAAAGTTGTATTCAGAAAGAATAAACCAGTTTTATTTAAGAAAGGACTTGTATCGGTAAAGTTTCTTTGGTAAGAATTTTTACGGAAAATTAACTAACGATTGGAGACGTAACAGTATATTTACCAGGATTATCTTTCGTGATACTACTTCTGTGCTCCACTCTACACTCAAAGAAAGTTGGGTTATTTCATTGGCTGTAGATTTGACTTTATTCCCATGAAAACTGAAAAATCTAGCAAGTACTGGGTGGTATGCTCTGCAGAGTTCTCACTACTCTGTAATGGGAGGCGGGTAGGCTAGTTGTTTGGG